CCTTTGGCTGTCGAAGAAGAGAGGTTGAGCTATTTTGTTGCAGGCAGGGGACCATGCTGTCACTGGGGCAAGATCCTGGCCCCAGAGGAGCTCCCCACCCAGCTGTACACCCTGTCAGCACTGCTGGGGCCGGTCTCCATGGAAACCCCAGCCTGCTGTCATGACCCTGCTGCTGCTGGGGTCTCCATGGAAACTGGCCACAGCAATGCATGCAAGGGCTGCTGGGAAATGGAGTCTGGCTGCGGGCCGGATCTGCCATTTTGCCCACCCTTGCTCTAAGGACACCAGGCCCCCATTTATGCAGTTGAGAAGGTGTAGTTTTAAGGCAATTTGGCAGTGTTCACAGCTCTGGGGGAGCCTCAGTATATATGCTGCCCTTGGGCTAAGGATCTCAAAATATCCAGTGTAAAGCCTGTGTTGTGAACGGTCTTGAGTGACAGGGTTTCCAGGGTCCCTACCACAGAGCTGAATCACTGAAAGACCAAGGAGAAATGAGCCCTGGATTTTGACACTGACAGGAAGGCTGGAAGCTCTGAAAATACCAGCTCAGGACTTAAGGCGTTCAGGGCTTCTGGATTCCTTGTCATGAAACCAGGAGCTTCAGAACTCCAGAAGGGCTTTCAGGATTGTTCAGGGAAGCCCTGCCATCTAGACTGCTGCAGAGCTAAGGGCTGTATGCCTTTCAGTCTCCTGGGACAACCGGCTCTGTTGGTTGCCTCTTAGGACCATAAGGGTTGGGCAGACTGGTAAACCAAGTGGCCAAGGAGGCTGTATGGCCTGGGTTCACTTGCTCAGGACAGTCTGTGTTAAGGCTGTCCTAGAGATACGGACCAAGGAAGCTGTGACAGTTGCCCTGTAACGTTGTTTCTTGTTAGTTATGCTGCTGTCCACCACTGAAGAGCACGTGGAACTGAAAGTTTCTCTGTGCAAGTAGGTAGTAGTGGCAGCAGTGGAATTGGCAAGAATCATAATACATTCATCCAGTGGTTGCTGAAGTCCTAGGAAGCACATCTCATTTTAAAAATACCATCTGCTGATGTTTCTAAAACAATTTATTCTGTAATTTCCCTTTTGTGGGAAACTTTTTAAAAAAATGCTTTAATTTTCAATCAGAGTAAAGATGTTTCAGAGTTTCAAATTCTGAATTCTTGTCAGCTCTAATATTGAGCCATTTAGCCACTGGGGAGAAGTAAAGATTCCCATTCTGACCCTAGTTATAAAGTCAGAATGGGTAGATATAGGGTATGGGTATCTGGGTTTATGGTGAGAGCCCAGTGTTTCCCACCTTCTGGTATGTGGGGAGAGAACTGTGTCTTGACTCAAGGGTCAGTCTATACTGCAGTAACCCTAGCCTCAGAGGTATGCGGACTTGCCTCACACAGGAGTGAAGAGAGGGGTGTGCAAGCAGGGGATCGTGGCTCTGCCCCAGCTCCTTGCAGTGATGACAGCCTGGTCTGGAGCAGGGGCAGAGTTGCGCACCCTTGCCTAGGGCATGCAGGCTACAGATTGCAGCTCTGTCCCAGCTCTGGAGCAAGTTCCCAGTGGCTCTGGAGCAGGCCCCTGTGCTGCTCTGCTGCGCCTGCTGTCAGTGTGGCAGCAGCTGGCTTCCATGGCAACCCATGCAGGTGCAGCTTTCCTGTGCAGGTGTGGCTGGGGTCTCCGAGGAGATTGTCCCAAGTCATGCGGGCAGGGGCTGCTGGGAAATGAAGTCTGGCTGCCGGCCAGATCATCCATTTTGCCCACCCCTGGCTTAATGGCATACTGTAATCTATATATCTCCTAGTTCAGGGGGGTTATAATATATCCATGGGCTTGATCTGGCCTGTCTCTGGCCCACAGGGGCTCCTGGAGAGGTCAGGAATTTGGCAGTGGAACAAGTGATGGTGATGTTAACCCTACAGCTCCTGAAGCTGACACAACAGCTGAATTCCAGGGTATGGAGGCCTGTTGGGGGCTTGATTCAGTGGCAGCAGGGCAAGAAATGAGTGTGTTAACCCCTGTGATTCCCTAAGCTGGGGTGGGCAAAATATGGCCCACGGGCTGGATTCAGCCCACCAAAGGATTCTGCCCAGCCCACAGTGGGTCCCTCAGCCCTTCACAGCTCAGATGTAGGGGGAAGCCCGGGGCTGTGGACGGGCAGGAAGCAGCATCCAGGAGCAGGACAGGTAGGCAGCGGCTGGGGCCAGGATCATGGGGCACTGACAGCATGGGGCCAAGGCAGAGCTGTGATCCATTTCCCACACATCTCTGCCCAGCCTGAAGCTGATCACATCTCTGCCGTGGACTCCTGTTCCACATTGGTGTTTGTGGAGTCCCTGCTCACTCTGTCTGGTGCCCCGGACAGTGGGTGTGGGGCAGATGGGCCCAGGGCCAGATAGGATCAGTTGCCCCCCCACCCCACCATGCCAGCATC